GGAAGTGATGAGGACCAGCTAGTCATCCTGGGGATGGTCTCTGTGGATGCAAAGATGGCTGGTCAAGCTAATTTGTGCTTGGATTGACCTGAGGCTGTATGGACAGGGAATGATGGCTGCTGATGTGGACTTGCACTGGTTTTCCTTGTCTGTCTGCGCTGCTCAGCTCAGCTGGAAGGCGTGATTAGTGAGTGAGAACAGGTGCGTTGATTACAGATCTGATTGGTGTGTGACAACAGGCACACAGTGAAGCTGAGGAGAAAACCATGACCAATGTATGAAAACCTACAACTGCACAGATAATCACATTGATCGGAAAGAACTGACAGAAATTATGCAGAAGTGACTTAAGTTTGTTTTAAAACAGGACAAAACAAACAAATAATTCACAAAGTGTGACACTCTTATGTATAACTCATAACTGTAACCAAAAGAATGCCAAAAATATGTTGTTTTCATTTCTAGTATTTTTGCTGGTTGTAAAGTAATTTAGATATTTTTTGTAAAAAAATAAATAAATAAATAAATAAAGAACTGGGCGATATCTCGATATTTTAAAAATATCGATATAATTTCATTCACGATATAAAATGAGACTATATCGATATTAACAATATAGCGTTATACTTGAAAATCCACCAGCTGTCTTCTTTCTCCCATCCCGCCCCTCCTCTCCATCACTACAAACCCAGCCCCCCACCTGCGCGCTCTCCCCCAGCTTCCTGCTTCTCTCCAGGTAGGACGGCGCTGTCATTCCCCGATCTGTTACGGAAGCACGATCCGCAGTGCCAGCTCATTTGCGCATGCGCTAAAAGTAATACTTCCAGGTCGCACGGATCGCCGGTGAATATGCAAGATTAAGGAAAATGTACTGGAAATATTCCTGTAAGCCGATTGACATATTAATAAAATATATTTATGAAACATACCATATTTATTAATATTAATTAAAATATTTATTTCTATAAATTGATTCATTTAATTAATGGCTCTGTTATTTGGAGATGGTTCGGATTTAATACGTCAGATGAGCAGCAGAAAAATGGAATCTGTAGAAAATGCTGAAAACAAGTCCCGACGAAAGGTTCGAGCACAACGAGCCCTTTTCTTCATTTAAAACGTCATAAAGTGGAGTATGAAGAGCGCGTGAAACTTAGTGCTGCAGCTCCAGATGTGAAGCTTCCTTCCCTGAAACAACTCTTTTACCTGGGCTGTGCCGTACGAGAAAAACAGTGAAAGGTGGCGTGAGATTAGTAAAGCTGTGGCCACCCCCCCCCCCCCCCCCGAGTCTGCTGTAGTCTGAACAACAGAGGACTGAGAGGAGCACTCTGATCACGAAATTCCTAATAGGTGTGAAAATGATGGTATTTCAGGCCTAAAGCTGCATTATAATTAGACTTTTTAAAGAGCAAGTCAGCCTTTCGTTTTGCCCTGTATCTTTTCTGTGCAAATTTTAAAGTACACAGCTGTGTTTTTGGTTTTGTTATAGGGGGAAAAAAATAAATCTTTATTTAATTTTTTTAGATATTTATTTTATAGAGTTACAGCTGTTTGTTAATAAATGTGCCTATGTGACAACTGGGACAAAGCTTTGACTCATAAAAAAAAAAACCCAACACATTTATGTTATTACTTTATGGAAAAAAAAATTGAGATATATATCGTATATCGCCATTTTTCTTAAAATACCGAGATATTAATTTTGGTCCATATTGCCCAGCCCTAGTGGAAACTTTTGGTAAAATAGCTGCCAGGTCGAGCTTTAAAAACTAGTCTTAAAAAGACCTAATTCAGAACCGCACAAACTATTATAAAACAGTTTTAAAAAATGAGCCATGAGACAGTTAGGCTCCGAACATGCAGATTTGGCGACGTCTGAACGGAGCTCATTGTGATGTTTACGTTGTCAGTTTGTCTAAAGGCTACGGGCTCCAAGTTACAATCTGTTGTCTTATTGACTTCGTTAAACTGCATTTGGACCGAAACAATAAACAGAACCACTGGGATCCTGACTGTGAAAGCAAAACTGTAGGATTTGATTTGGACCTGCTAACAGAACAAGCACAGTTAAAAAAAATAATAAAAAAAACGGGACGTTTAGTAGATTGTAGATAAAAACAGAAAGCATTGATAAAAAATAAAAAATAAAATAAAAACTACTAATGCTGTTTATATGATTTGGCATGAAAGAGGCATTTAAACCTTTACAAAGATGATATTTTTCAGAGTTTTTCAGAATTATCTTCAAAATTTAACCTGCCTCCTTCTCACTTGTTTCAAATTAGACACTGTATTTCAGCACTGCTTCCAAATTTTCCAACTTTCCCTGCTGACCCACCATGGGTTGACCTTCTGGTTCTCAGGCCTAATCAGAAATCACCCCTTACTAATGGATCACTGGTGACAATGGAGTCCGACTCATCTGGTGAAATCAGAACTGCCTGGGAGCGTGAATTAGGTGCTGAACTGTCTGAATCATGGTGGGATAAGATGATTCTCAGCACACGATCAAGTACAAAGTACACCATGTGCTAGATTACAGCTGATACAGTTTAAAGTAAGAAACAGAGTCCACTTTTCAAAATCCGGTTTATCTCAAATCTTTCTTTCAACTCCAGATCAGTGTGACAGATGTCAGACTTCACCTTGCAACTTGAGCCACATGTGTTTCTTCTGTCCAAGTTTGCATACAAAGTACATTCTGGAGTGATTTATTTTCTGAACTTTCAGGGGTTTTTTCGAACCCAGATCCAAAGTGAGCCACTAATTGCCATTTTTGGAGTTCCAATGACAACGGTTAACCTATCTCCCCTGCAAAATGAGATCTTTTGTTCACTTCTTGCTGGACGTTGCATTTTACTCTTCTGGAAATCTCCCACACCTCCATCTACGTTACTATGGCTTAACTCTGTCAGGGCGCTTTTGATGGTGGAGAAGATTTTACTAACAGTGAAGGGTAGTTCAGAAAAATTTACTCACAAGTGGACACCCTTGGTGGAGTACCGCAAATCTTTACCTTCTTAGTGTGTAGAATTGTGTAATTTACCCACCATATTACAAAGTTATAAAGATTGTAGCTCTTATTTATTTTAGCCCCCCCCCAACAATTTTCTTGATTTTTTTTATAAATTAATTAATTTTTATTTACTTTTTCTTTGTTCTTGCATTTGTACAACATTTTATATTGTGAATAACATTGTATACCACCTTGATAAATTAAAAAAAAAAAAAAAAAATCACATAAACCTTTATTCTATTCACAACAGGACGTAGTAAACACATTAAATGTTCGAGAAATTGCACTATTAAAACACGTAATTTTTAATTTTGGAGCAACTCCAAATAATTGTAAGAGGGCCATGTTTCCCATCATGAAGCATCCCCTTTTATTTTATCAACAGTAAACGTCAGAGGAGACCAGTCGTTGGAGTTTTTGGAGGAGACCGTTCCATTCTGGTCCAACGTTGGACTCTAGCTGTTCAATAGTCCTGAGTTTTGTTGCTGAATGGAAGCACATGTTGTTCTAAACCCTGTAGACTTTTCTGCACTGATGGTGCCTTTCCAGATGTGTAACCTGCCCATGAAAAGAAGCACTAATGCACCTCCATACCATCAGAGAAGCAGTAATATCTAAGTCACAACTTATCAAAGATGAAAATAGATTAAAACAAAGAAAAAAAATTAAAATTGTTTTACTTTTCTGGAAATTGTACATTCTTTTAATTTCCATGTGTTTGTGTTTGTATGATCCGTTGTGAATGACGTTTGACTTTATGGGATTTTTGCTCTCGATTTTAGTTACAATTGACACAAAATCACAACTTTTTTGATAAATTAAGGTTGTAAAAGTTGAGACAGAGAGACGATATGAAGGGGGAAAAAAGAATGTATAGATGTTGACAGGATGATGCAGAGAAAATGGGAGCAAAAGTGGGCTGGGAGAGGAGGAGGGTTTGCTGCTGGAGTGAAGGGAGAGGGAGGAGAGGAAGAGAGGCAGGCTAAATCCTCGTACCATTATTACCCTGACTCACATGCAGCCCCTCCTGTGATGGAGTGGGAGAGTGGGGGGGGAGAGAGAGAAAGAGAGACGCAGGAAAGATGGAGTTTCAGAGCGAGTGGAAAGCAGGATTACTGATGTGACAGCACCGGCAGATGAGTGGCAGGGCGGCGGTGAGAGAGAAACTCTGCTGGCAAAGAGAGAAAAACACTAAATCAGTGCAACAGGATGAGGACCTGCTAGTGCACAGCCGGCCCGACCTCACACAGCTGCCATCTGTCCTGCTATTTGCTCTGTGCTCCTGACGCTTCCAGCATCCACCAACATCTGGATCACCTCACGTCCATATGGGAGCGAGGGCAGGAGAAGAGGGCGACAAACCTAAACTGTATCCTCTCCTCGTTATTGTTGATCCCAGAGGAGCAGCATCACTTCGGGGATCCCTTGCAGAGGAGTTTCAACGCAAAACTGGACCAAAGTTTTTCTGCAAACATGGTTTGGACGTGCAGGACTTCTCGTGTGTGAGAGATTTTTTTAAAAACTTTCCATGGATTTATTATGTCTTAGCAGGGGAATAAGGAGCAGATGAGGAGGCATCGCCACGGTTTTCTCTATCACTGAGGATACATTTCATCACTCTCTCGCCTCTTTCACTCCTCACCTCATCCGAACAGTGGGGAGCCTGAAGGCTACAGGCAGAGAACCAAAAACAGCTGCTTTACGCACATTCAGACGCTCAAACACACACTTGCCAGCTGCACAGGGCTCCCACACCTCTCGTCTTCTTCCACCTTCCTTTTCCCATTACTTTCCCCTCCCTGTCCCATTTTGATACCCCATCTTCACCTCCACGGCCGCTTGTGAATGTGATGCACGCAGCCAAAGAGACGGGGAGCACGGCTGCCAGACAGAAGAGGGGTTTTTGGAGACGAGGGGAGCTCACACACACTTGCTGTCACGCTGTGAAGTCCTCCAGGGGAGTGTGCAGATAACAAACGCTGCCACACACACACAGGCGCTGATGAACTCATGCGCTCAGAGGCTCGGTGTAAATGTGGACTCCTACAGGTGCCGAGAGGGGAGAGAGGCAGGTGAAAACTAGGTGAAAACAAAGACATTTAGAGGGGAAAAGAGAAGAGGATAACCATGGAGCAGCAGGAGTTCAGGTTTGATCACAGCAGAATGCACAGGTGAGTGTCTCCCTTTACCCTGCACACACAGATTTACACCTGATCCGATCTCCTGTCATAAATTTGTGGTTTCACCATAAATATATAGACTAAAACAGAATGAGAGGTTCAAAGGGGATCCGTACTTTTAGGTTTTACAAGTGATGAGTTTCCATGAGAGGAAGCTCGCTGACAGAAACACCTCACAGGATACTGTCACAACCAATTATAACATTTTTCACACAAAGATTTGCTGCTTATTTTGCGTCTGATTGTGTTCTGTGTGTTCCACCTGCACAAGCACTTTCTAAGTGCTTCAGTCGTGGTCTTCACGTTGGATCTTGTTTTGTTTTATGAGATGCAGCAGCTTTAATTTGTCACCTGGCTCTCTGCTTCATTCTTATTGTCATTATTAGTGGCAGCCAAAGTGACCCCACCCACAAAGAGCTAAACAAAAATCACGCATTAAAACAGGTGTCTACACAAAAAACTTGATTTTGTTTTCTTGGATGGAAACAGCACAAGGACAGAGGTGGAGAAAGTACTCAAACACTGTACTTAAGTAAAACTAGAAATAAACAGACAAAAATCTACTCTAGTAAAAGTAGAAGTACCACATTAATGTTTTTACTTAAGTAAAAGTAAATAAGTACCTGCTTTTAAAAACACTTAAAGTATTAAAAGTAAAAGTACTTGCTGAATGTATTACCTGTCTACAATATCAAGTGTACCGTATGTATATTTTCTGTAATACATTAATAGTGTTGAGCCATTTTAATGAACAATGCTGCAGATAATGCATGTTTTTATTAAGTAAAATAAGAAAGAGGAATGATTACACCTTTGTAAGTTTTTATTTAACACAAAGAAAAACCAAAGTATCATTTTAACTGCAGGAAACACATTTAAGTAAAAGTTGTCTGTCTGAAAAAAGGAACATTAGACCTGACAAAAGAATAGACTCTGATCAGTTCAACTCCAGTTTGTCATCAACTAGTTAAAATACTGTTGTCAACCTTGTAATGGGTCAATAGTGAACAATATTTTAACTTCCTGACACCATTTTCAAAACTTGGACCTGAGTGTCGAGTCATTTGGAGACATCTCTTCTCTCCTAACATCCCATGAACTGACACGTTTTAATATTGCAGCAAAAATTTCATGTTCAAGTTCAGAAGAAGTTGGTTTTCAAGGTTTATGAGTCCAGCTTGGTTCTTTTGGGAGAGAGAATCTATCCTGCTGTACTCAACAGTCTTTCAACAGTCTTTCAATAGTCTTTCAATAGTCTTTCAGTAGTCTTTCAATAGTCTTTCAACAGTCTTTCAATAGTCTTTCAACAGTCTTTCAACAGTCTTTCAACAGTCTTTCAACAGTCTTTCAATAGTCTTTCAACAGTCTTTCAATAGTCTTTCAACAGTTTTTCAACAGTCTTTCAATAAGGTCATGGGTGGTGTGTATCTTCTGGCTGACTTCTCGCAGTGGAATCCATTTTGGGTGTTTTAGCAGTGCTGTGGGTGCATCCAGCTCTATGACGTATATGCTAGAATATACGTCATTGGTCCAGCTCTTCTTGAAGGCAGGTCTAACGTTACCTGCCCACTTTGCTGTGATTCAATGGACCAACTCCCCTCTCGCCATTGGTTACTTTCAAACTAACGAACCAAAAATAAAAAAACACACAACATGAATGTAACGTAACACAACGCATTATAGAAATGTAGTGTAGTAGAAAGTACAGATACTTAATGTAAAATGTCGTGGAATAAAAGTAGAAAGTACCCATCTTTAGCTCTACCTAAGTAAAGCACTGATACATGAAAAATGTACTTAAGTATAGTAACGAAGTACTTGTAGTTAGTTACATCCCACCACTGCACAAGGACGAGCATCTTCCTCTTCTTCAGACTTCCCGAAGCAGATAAAATCTTAAATATGATTCTCACGTTGAGTTTATGGCACAGAACAAAAGGTCTGGTTTAAATTTATTTAAAAAGGCCATTAAAAGTATCAAAAAAGCACTTATTACATGGATAAATTTGTTGTTACCCTCTGATTTTCAGTACTTTTTCCTTTTATTACTTTCGTCAGTTTGAAGTTACGTCGTTGCTTTTGAATTTTTGTTCAACAGAATTATTTTAAACACAAACTAATGACAATGGATTTTACAGAAAGGACAGTGGCCTTAAAAAAGACTGAAACTAATTTGATCAACCCGTTAAACTAAGGTGTGTCCTGTTATTAGCATTGGTCGGTCTGCCTGTTTTGAAGGGTGACGGGTAGTCACAGTGCTGTTTGATGTCATGCGTGTCCCACACTGAGCATGATCCACAGGAGCTTGAAAAGAAAATCATTGACAGGTGTGTTAAAGGTAAAGGCGATGAGACCACACACATGCAGCTTTATGTTCCTACAGCGGAACAGATTAATCAGAAGTTCAACCTCCACAGGACTGTAGACATCTTCCCTAGACACAGCCTCAAGAGGAAAACTGATGACAAACTATAGAAACAGATGAAGCAGATAAAGATGAGCAGTGAACTCAAAGATCAGGGTTCATCAGTGTCAAACTGCACCATCCATTGCTGTTTGAGCCACAGTAGATTTGATGGAAGACGACAACAAAGGATGAAAAAAGCCAGACTGGAATCTGCCAAAATGCACATTGATAAACCACAAAGCTTCTGGGAGAATGTTTTTTGGACGGATGAGACAAAACTGGAGCAAGTCCCTTCAGCTCCATGTTCACAGAGCCGAACGTGAACCAAACAAAGAAACAAACCCTGTACCTATACAGTGAAACTTGGAGAAGACTTGGTTCTGCTCTGGATATCTTGAATCTGTACTGGGTATGATAAAATCTCAAGACGATCAAGGCATTCTGGAGCAAAATGTGTAGCTCAGCATCAAGAGCTTGCTCCAAGTTACAAGTCCGGGGTCCTTAAACAGGATAATGACCCAACACCCAAGAAGGACTACGAACAAAACAGTGGACCTTCTGAGCCCTGATCTAAATCCTGGTGAACATCATTAGTTGATTTTTTTTGTTCTTTTATTATTTTTCAGTTTCAAAGTAGTTTTTAGTTACAAGCAAATTTATTTGTGTCCTTATCTTCAGTGTGATGGGCGCATTCCTCTGAGAAAATTGACTTCAAAAAAGGAGGTTGCTTCAAGTGAAATTTGCAAAATTTTTCACGTTGACATGTAACATGACGTCCTCCACATTTGCTTTCTTGGTAACATTACAACAGACGCTTATTAGCAGATGTCATAGAATAGAGAAGGGAAACAGGAAAAACAGCTTTTGTTGGTTTTAGTCATTTTATTACAAAAACATGTTGAGCAGTAAATCCCAGGGATGAGCCAATTTTAAGAGATATCCATCCATCCATCCATCCATCCATCCATCCATCCATCCATCCATCCATCATCCGCTTGTTCCAAAGTCAGGTCTCTGGGGCAGCAGCTTGAACAGGGAGGTCCAGACATCTCGTTCCACAGCCACCTCTTCCAGCTCTTCTGGGAGGACACCAAGGTGTTCCCAGGCCAACCGAGCGAAATAGTCTGTCCAGCATAACCTGGGTCTTCCCCAGGGCATCCTCCCAGTCGGACATGCCGGAACCACCTCCCTAAGGAGGTGCCCAGGGAGCATCCTTACCAGATGCTCGAACCACCTCAATTGGCTCCTTTCGATGTGGAGGGGTTCCAGTCAGAGTCTCTCCTGATAACTGAACTTCTCACCCCATCTCCAAGGGAGAATCCAGCTACCCTGTGGAGGAAATTCATTTCAACTGGACTTGTATCCACAATCTCATTCTTTCAGTCACTACCCAGAGCTCATGACCATAGGTGAGGGTAGGAACATACTGACCGATAAACAAAGAGCTTTTCCTTACAGCTCAACTCCCTCTTCACTAAAACGGACCGGCACAGGATCCACAATACTGCAGACACTGCACCAATCCATCTGTCAGCCTCACGCTCCATTCTTCCCTCACTTGTGAACAAAACCTCGAGATACTTGAACTCCTCCACTTGAGGTAGAACCTCTCCCTCAACCTGAAGAGAACCATCCACCCTTTTCCGACTGCAGTATTTTAATCAGTAGAAAAAGACTCACTGAAGACTGTAAAGAAAAAAAAACACAAAGTTTACCAGAAGGAAGGGACAAGGTCACCAGCAGTCTTGTCTGGACTGGAAGGTCGTATCACTTCAAAGGCAGCGTGATCGAACTGTGAACAATCATACTCTACATGACCGTTCTGTTACCTTCTGATGAAGATGTCCATAACAACAGTTAGGAAAAGAGAAAGTCGAGTTCTTACAACAAAGAACTTAAAACTTTTGGCTAATTGTTTTTATTTTTTTAAACAGTTTGCATCTTCATGAACTCTCACAATGCTCAGCAGGGTTTTCTCTTTAGCTTTTTTCTAGTTTTAATTGAACAAAATGAAAAATGTTCAGCCTTCTCCTTACCAGCAGGTGCAGCTTGACCAATTTAATCATGAAAAAATTAGAGCAAAGACTTTTAAGGTCAGTTTTTTGAAGTATAACGTTTGAAGCGAGTAATAAATCCTGATCTGAAGCATTTCAGGGGCAAGAATGATTCGCTGTGATTTCCTCAGATTAGTTCAGGCTGTAACGGTACTGAAGGAATAGATGCTTGTAGTGCACCATCTTGCCATCAGCAGCAGCACTAAAAGAAATTATACCAAGCAAGAAGTGTTTCAATTCTGTTTATTTATGTAGAAAAAAAATGTACAACTCTCATTTCAGGACTTTTTTTGAACAATAGAAAAGTTCAAATTAAGTTTTTACCTCACTGGCAGTCTGGAATATGATTTATTTGCTTAGGTTTTAATCCATCTCTCTTTTCTCCCTGCATGGAGCATGCTCTTCCTTCTTTGTGTGGGTTATTCCGGGGTACTTAATTTTACTCCCACAGGCCGCAAACCTGCAAGTTAAATAAACTAGTGACTCTAAATTGACCTGTGGTGCAAATGTGAACAATTGTCTCTAAGGGG